AATTTGAGTATAACACAATCATATATTTCTGAAGCTAAAAACGAGGAATGAATTATATCCTTGAGTATAATATGACAATGTAGTATAGTAGATACGATGTAAATACTTTTTGATAAGTTATACCATATTATTCATTAAAATAGCATATTATTCATTAAAATAATATTATTGATTAGAATAACATATTATTCATTAAAATAACATTATTTGTTAGAAAAACATATTATTCATTAAAATAGCATATCATTCATTAAAATAACATATTATACATTAAAATACTATATTATTCATTAAAATAGAATATTATTCATTAAAATGACATATTATACATTAAAATACTATATTCATTAAAATAGCATATTATTCATTAAAATACCATATTAAACATTAAAATAGCATATTATTCATTAAGATAACATATTATACATTAAAATACTATATTATTTATTAAAATATCATATTATTCATTAAAATCTCAATGTTGCACTAAAATATTTAATTTTTCACAATATTAAAGAATAGAAATGAACCAGATATTTAACCATTGCTAATTTCCATTTCAAAATATTTTTGAATTTTTAGGGAAAGCTGCTAAGTAAGCCATAACAGGTAATACATTTTAAGGTGTTAATTAATCTATTGTACTTTTCTGTTTGATAGTATTATCTTTATATTTATATATATTAATAAATTATGGAAATAAAAAAAAATATTGTCTTTCATTACAAATGAAAAGAGAAAGCTTTCTAAAAAATACAAGTAAATCAAAATATTAATTCATTTTTTTATTCAATTTTGATGAATTTTCTGTCTTGGAGACAAAATACGTTCAATTATGCTGATTCTCAAAGAACAAATATGGTCGACATATCGAATACGTTTTTGTAAACAATTGTTATCAACACCTGCCTACTTTGTGTTTTATTATCTATTATGCTGAGTCGATTTGCAATGTTGCTGTTTCAAAGAAAAGTCTTGTTAGGCTGAGTAAAAATTTCTGAAAATGTGTAATTGTGTATAATACGACCCCATCTTTGCCTTTAATTTTCATTCAAAATTTCTCATATTATGTACAAGAAAATATAGTAGTATGTATAACCTGGGTAGGATGCTGGTGGCCTAATAATTATTAGAACAGAAAATGGAATCAGTAAAATTTACAGAAGAGGCATGTATTCATTGTTCCCTTTCTTTATGAGTAAATAGGCACTTGGAGCTGCTTGAGTTTTGTAAGGTAGTCCGTCCTGGGTGTCAGTAAAACAATATAACCCCATTAACATTCACTTATTGATACGTTCTTTGATCAAATTTGTCCACTCAAACAGCTTCTTCCCAAGAACTGCTACTATGTGGAAATGACTCCCAAGGGGATGCTTTCCTGTCAACTACAATCATAACCAGCTCAAGTCTAGAGTTAACCATTATCTTTCGCACATGTCCTTATAAACTGTACCAATTTTTACCACTCACTCAAACAAACTCTTTCAGTATCCCTCTACCTTGAGTGGCTCTTGAACTGTGTATAGGCTTAATATTAGTAAAAAAAAAAAACAAGTGTCTGTTACCTAAATACACATATATATATACTGTTGGCCTGTCTGGTGGCTGAGATAGTTTCATATTCTGTACTGATATTAGTAGTGATTCTTCATACCCTGAAAAAATAAAAATTAGCACAACACAAACCTCTTGTCCAAATTTTCTCCCCATTTTGCCTATGTCAGACTAAGCAACGTCTGTCATCCAGTTCACACTACTCTCCCATCTTTTGAACAGGATTAGGGGTTTATCCCTTGTTCAAGATTGGGTTTCTGGTTCCTTCAAAATTCTTCACATTCTCTTTTACTCCCAGTAACCCCTTACATCTTAAAGGCATTATCGCCTTGCTTGGGGTGAATTGATTTAAGAAAAAGAAAAAGAAATTACATTAAACACAACAAAAATGAGGTTTGAATAATTCATTGATGACTAAAAATACTTCATTTGAGAAATTCACAAAATGGGAAAAAGCAAAAAATATATTAGGCCAAAATATTATGATAAAACAATAAAGATGAAGATATTAGGGCTAATACTTCATGGAATCATGCCAAAACTTCATCTGAGAAGTTTAGACATAAACTGTATCTTTTCTACAAATATTTTCATGGCAATTGTTCTAATAAGCTTTCTGCCTTGATACCTGTGGCAGACATGATGAGACAGAACCTGGGATGAGCACAACTGGTTGCAACTTACCTTGTCCCTGCCAAAAAAGAGCCCGTATTTGCTTAGCATCTAAAGCTACTGCAGTTGAAATGAGGAAGAAAAAAGCACTTACTGCTCTGCTGTAATCCATCCTCGGCCAGATAACGTAAAAGAATGAGGGGGTACTTGCATTGTATTTTTATGCAATAAAGATGCAATGCATTATGGGACATGGACGCAATGAATTATAGGATCACATGAAGACGCAAGGGATTATGGGTATATGGACAAATATAAAAGTAACTACTTTTTCCCAGTGGGGGAGTTCTTCGAGTGACATTCACAGCTGGCGGCTAGAAAAGTCTGTTAGTGCGATTTTGAAACAGAACTCAAGAAGGAACGACTCAAGATTGGAATACCAGCTGGGAGAGCTTGAATTTACTCACTGGTTGCTGTTTTCTTTTTATTTCCCAAAGTACCTCAACTGCATGAATTTAAGTGCACTACTAGATTGGCAATTAGGTCTCATTGTTTTATTGTTGAAATAGCTAGATGTAAGTTCTATTCTAATAGATTCTTTTCTTGATTGTGGAACTACAGTGCATTGCAAAAGTTTACACCCCCTTGAAAACTGGATGCATTTTGTTTATTTTGATAGGAACAATTAATATTTTAAACTCCAATAATTTGTTTTAATAAGCAGATCTATCACACTTTTATTTAATACACACAATACATTTAAAAAATTTAAAACTGTTTCTTAAATAAAGATAGTTTTGAAAAATGTCTTTGCAAATGTCTACACCACCTTTGGAATGTCTTCAGCTAATACTTTGTAGATAATCCTGCTGTGTCAATTACAATCTGCAGACGCCTCGGGCAGCCTTCCATGAGCTTGCTGCAGTGGTCTGCTGACAGTTTTTGCCATTCTTCATGGTAGGACTTCTCGAGCTGTGTCAGATTGGATGGGGAATGTCGGTGCACAGCCAGTTTTAGATCTCACCACACATTTTCTATAGGATTCAGGCCTGGAGACTGGCTGGGCCACTCTAAAACTGTGATTTTCTTGTGAGCAAACCAAGCTTTAGTGCTTTTTGACACATGCTTGCGGTTGTTATCTTGATGAAACTTGAAATTGCGACCCACGCGCAGAGCTCTAGCAGACTTCAGCAGGTTTGCCTCCAATATTTTTTGGTACTTGATACTGTCCATGACACCTTGGATTGTTACCAGCTCTCCAGGACCTGCAGCTGAAAAACAACCCTAAAGCATGATCGAGCCACCACCATGCTTTACGGTGAGAACAGTGTAATGAGGTAGGTGAGCACTGCTTTTTTTCCGCCAAATGTAGCAATTTGTATTTTTCCCAAATAACTTGACTTCGGTCTCATCTGACCAAAACATCTTTTGCTACATGATCATGGAATCATTGATGTGACTTTTGGCAAAGTTTAGCCTAGCTTGTTTGTACATAGGCTTCAAAAGGGGCTTTTTTTCTAGCTACCCTCACTTGCAGCCCAGACCGGTGCAATACTCTGGAAATTGTAGATGCATGAACATCTGTCCCAGTACTGGAAACTGAAGCTTTCATTTCTTCCAGTGTTGCACTAGGGTTGGAGGTTGCCTCCTGGACTAGTTTTGATTTTGCTCTTCTAGTAAGTTTGCTCAGTCTTCCAGATCTTGGTAGGGTAGCAGTGGCTTTGTGTACTAACCACTTCTTAACTACAGTTTTAACAGTGCTTAGGGGCAATTCTAAAGTTTTTGCAATCTTTTTATAGCCATTATTTTCATTGTACTTTTGAATAATAAGGTTTTTAAGTTCCTGAGGCAGAGGCTTGCCCATTTTCTTTCCCGAGTTGGACACCTTGTGTTTACAGTCAGAGTCCAAAGACCGACATACCAAGAAACTATGTAGTGGATGATTTTGTAGGCAGTTAAATCACCTTATATAGCAAAATAATAGACAGACCAAATTTATTTGTTATGGTAGAACGTACATGTCACTTTTGATTGTTCTGGATTGTATACATCAATGATAAACTATGTGATAACGCAGTATAATATCTGGGGGGGGGTAGACTTTTGCAAAGACATTTTTCTAAGTTATATGATTTTATAAATCAGTGTGAAATTTTTAAAATCTAATTTTTATATCAAAGGAAATTGTGATGAATCTGCTTATTATTTAACAATCATTGGAATTGAAAAAAATGTGTTGTTCCCTGTTAAATTATACAAAATATATAAACTTTCAAAGGTGGGTGTAGACTTTTGCAAGCCATTGTATGCTTTGATTTCTTACTTCCCTGCCACTTAAGCTTTTCAAACAATTAAATGCAACATCAGTCGCCATTTTCTGTCTTCCTGAATCACCAAGTTTAAGCAACCTTGAGACTGGTCAGTAACTAGATGGGTGACCACTTGACCAGATGTTATAAGCTTAGATGTGCCAGTTGTGTAATGGATAATGGATCGGAATTGGACCGGAATTGGATTGGAATTGGAAATCAGATAGAAGAGTTCTAGTTCCAGTCAAGCTCATTATATTCACTCATGCATTGAGCAAAGTATGAATCCACCATTTCCCCCTCCAGCTATGGGTTAAAATGGTAGGACTTGTATCAGTAAATCATTAATATCCCGAAAAAATTCTTACAATGTAAAAATATCTTCTGGCTTTATATAACCTGCAAACAATTGATAAACTGTAAAAAGATAAATCCTGAAACCTGTTCTTTTATTGTTCATTCTCCTCAATAACATATTCTCATTCTCTTTCACTCTCAGTAAACCCTTGCATCTTAGTAGCATTATCACCTTGCTTGGAGTGAAATGATTAAAAAATAGATAGATAGATAGATAGATATGGATAGACTGAGATATATAGATAGATATGGATAGACTGTTATATATAGATAGATATGGAAAGACTGAGATATATAGACAGATATGGATAGACTGAGATATATAGATAGATAAGGATAGACTGAGATATATAGATAGATATAGACAGACTGAGATATACAGAGATAGATATGGACAGAGAAATAGATAGATAGATAGATAGATAGATAGATAGATAGATAGATAGATAGATAGATAGATAGATAGATAGAGACAAACCGAGATAGATAGATAGATAGATAGATAGAGACAAACTGAGATAGATAGATAGATAGATAGAGACAAACCGAGATAGATAGATAGATAGATAGATGAATGAGATAAATGAATAGATAGATAATACATAGATAGATAGATAGATAGATAGATAGATAGATAGATAGATAGATAATAGATAAGATAGATAGATAGATAGATAGATAGATAGAAACACGATAGATAGATAGATAGATGGATAGATAGATAGATAGATAGATAGATAGATAGATAGATAAATATAGACACACTGGATAGATAGATAGATAGATAGATAGATAGATAGATAGATGGATAGATATAGACACACTGAGATAGATAGATAGATAGATAGATAGATGGATGGATAGATAGATGGATGGATAGATATAGATCATACTAGATAGATAGATATAGACACATGAGATAGATAAATAGATGGATAGATAGATGGATATATAGACACACTGGATAGATAGATGGATGGATGGATAGATAGATGGAGATAGATAGATAGATAGATAGATATAGACATACTTAGATAGATGTAGATAGATGATAGATAGATAGATGATAGATAGATATGGATAGATGAATATAGACACACTGAGATAGATAGATAGATAGATAGATGAGATGAGATAGATAGATGGATAGATAGATAGATGAATATAGACATACTTAGATAGATAGATATAGACACACTGAGATAGATAGATGGATATATAGATGGATAGATAGATGAATAGATAGATATATACATGAGATGGATGGATATATGAACACTGAGATGGATGAATGGATGGATAGATAGATAGATAGATGAATGGATAGATAGATATAGACATGAATGTGATAGATAGATGGATATGGACACATGAGATAGATAGATGAATAGATATAGACATGTAGATAGATGGATAGATGATAGATAGATAGATGGATAGATGATAGATAGATAGATGATAGACATGGATAGATAGATGGATGGATATAGACACACTGGAGATAGATATATAGATAGATAGATGGATATGGACACACTGAGATAGATAGGATAGATAGATGGGACAAACCAAGATAGATAGATACATATAGACACACTTAGATAGATAGGTAGATAGATATGGACACACTGAGATAGATAGATAGATAGATAGATAGATAGATAGATAGATAGATAGATATGGACAAACCAAGATAGATAGATAGATATAGACACACTTAGATAGATAGATAGATATAGACACACTGAGATAGATAGATACATATGTACACACTTAGATAGATAGATAGATAGATAGATAGATAGATAGATATGAACAGAGATAAATGATTAAAAAAATAAGGAAACTTTTATAATGCATCAGTTGAAGCCTTGTGATTAAAATGTCAAATATGAGGATACTAGTTTGAAGTCTTCATAAAATAAAGACAAAGCTGAAATACAGAATTTAAAAAAATATTCACTTTGTTAATTTTGTTGCCATTTTTAATTTGTTCCTTCATCTAATGTTCTTCAAATGAATATCATCTTTGTCAAATTGTATTAAATATTTAAAAGTATTCACAGGATACCACATTCAGCAAATTCTGACCTGAGAAAATGTGATGCTAAAAGTGATAAAGATGAGAATATTTAACATAAAATAGCTCTTCTCAAAATTTAAAAAAAAAATATACACAGTACTCTCAAATTGTTAGTAGACATCTTTAAAACAGTTTCAACAGATATTAAACAAGACAAACCAAATTAAAAATTTAATTGTAAAAATTAATTTCAAAAACTTAGGGAGATATTAACGATAAAACAAAAGCCTTTGTTTCTTTCAGCCCCAAAATAGTATTCATGGCTGTTTAAGAATGGATGCCATGAAAGTTAAGAGAAAACTATGTCTTAGTTTTTCTGATGTCAATTTTTAAAGTCTAATCATGTAAACTTAATTATATTTAATGCAATTATGTAAACCTTTTTTTGGTTGATAGGATTATGCTTCCAATCAATGATGCCATTTTTAACGTCTCCTGACAGTGGCAGATCCACAAATATTTTGAGCATCTTACAAAATAGAACTCTTCTTTTCCCCAGTTTCCATTTCTGTCATGTGATTATTGGCAAAGATTACTTTAATCTACTGATTCAAGCTCAAATGGTGACAAATTAAGGGTCTTTTCAGTTGTTTTTGTTTGTTTTGGGGTTTTTTTTACCAAAGAAAAAGGAGCTCTTGCAGAATGAAAGACAGAAACGGTTCATTAGGAGAAGAAAGAATACATTTTCAATGTAAATTAATAGAATATTTCTGGGGCAACAAAAAGAAGAAAGAATTTGGTAAAAATGGGAGTTAATATTTAAAGGTATCTACATATGACGAAATAAAATGTCAGATGTGAATTAGAGACCACATAAGAGCCTTTATAACAATGTTAAGCCTTAATGGGGTAATTACAGAGTGGAAATTTGAGGTAGCAGAGAAATATCGAAGTAGACAGTCACTATTGTTCTTGATAAGATTTCTTTGCAATAAGTATGTTCTTTAATAGACTAGAATTATGAAAGTGGGAGGAAGAAAAGAGGAAGTGAATAGAAGTAGTGGGAAGATAAAAGCGTAAAAGTTGAATACAGGACAGGAGTGGGAAGAATACAATATAAATAAATGAAAAGAAGTAAAACAAAAACAAACAAGAAAGGCGTTTTCTAAAGAATAAAAAAAGAGAGAACAGGCTTAAAAATTAGAAAGGGTAAAATAAGCAGAGAGTAGAGAAGAGTGAATAGAGAAATAAGAGAGTCAGAATTGGGGAGAGAGAAGAAAATTGAGAGAGAGAGAGAGAGAGAGAGAGAGAGAGAGAGAGAGAGTGATTAGAAATGGTAAAATGTACAAAGAGAGAAAACAGCAAAAAAGAATGATAAAGAAGAGAAAAAAGAAAAAGAAAAAGAAAAAAGCAGAAAAAGAGTGAGTAAAAGTGTGAAGAAATTTACGTAAATTAACATTGATGAATGAATACAAATTCTATTTTCTTCTTCTTTCATATACTTTGTTCCTTCATGATGTTGGTGATCATGGTGGCTCTCCACAACTTCCTAGCTTTGTAGCTCTAAGCAAATATTTGTCCTAAAAACAGAATAACTTAAGAAACAGGAAATTTTCCTGTTTCTTCAGTGGTGTATTTAGAGGGGGGACTGAAGGGGCAGTCCCCCCCAACTGGCATTTTTATTGGGGGTGGCACTTTTGTTTCTGCTGTAGGTTATAAGCCTGTACAGGTTGTATTGAAATAAAAGTGCTTTTAATATCAGGAAATATTAAAGTTGAAGGATCTTTTTGATTTCAAATAATTTAAATCATTGTTAATATATACTAGCCTATCTACTTTATACAGATCAATAATTGACAAATGAAATAGTTTTTGATGATATCATTGAAAAATTTGTCAACAAAAAAGCAAGAAAAATTACTTTGTAGAAAGTTGTAACTTTTATTGAAATAAAAGTTCTGAAATTAAAAAAAAAAGCACTTTTATTTTCAATACAACCACTACAGGTAAAGGTTTCTTATTGACATTAAATTCAATACTTACCATTTGGTATGTGTCTAGTGTGAATCACATATTACACAATCTGTTGTTAACTGGGGCAAGAAATGGCTTGTTAATTACAAGGCTTCCAAAATGAAACTGCTCTCTTTTAATCATCTTTTTTTGAAAACCTTTTTTTGCCTTCCACCAGCATGGGTGATACTAACCTCCAGGAGAGTGATTCCTTGCATCTTCTCAGAAAATATTATTTTCTGCTGACATGAAATGGAAAGATTGAATCAATTGCTAAGTTTGCTGCTAGGAGAGTTGATTCACCATGTCGTAATAGACAATTTTTCTTGCCAGAATCTGTCTTACACATTTGTAAGTTTATCATTTATCCATGCAGTGAATATTTCTGCTGCATCTGGTCTGTTGCTTCTGCTATGTATTTAAAGCTAAAATCCAAAGACGGATTTGCAATGTTATTGGTCTTGGCCTGGCATCTCAGCTTCAGTGTGTTTCCTACCATTATGACATAGTTTCCCTGTGCTTTTTCTATAAATACTTTCATAGTAATTGTGCTGATGAATTTTCCACTTTCTTATGTTGTTATTTTTATTCTTCCCTACAGACAAATTGTATATATAGAAACTAGTTTAGACTAAATAGAGACTTTGAGGTATTATGGTGGCTGTAGTAAGAATGATAACTAAGAATGTGTTGTTTTCATGTAAGGAATACTGTGATATGTTTTGGTCAGTAATTGTGACTAGCTAAGTTTAATTATAAGACAGCTTCAAGACTAGCCTTCCCCTATCCCCACTTTTGGCCTTGTGCAACATTTTTGTATTATTCAAAATAAATATTAATTTCATCATTTGTACCTAAACTTTATGAATCTAAGAGCAATACAAGATTAGCATTTTAAAGTAAGTTCTATGCTAACAGTTTCTTCTCTTGCACTTTTTGCTTGTGGAACATTCTTATGGTTTTTTGCTTCTAAGTCAACTTTGATCTTCAAAAATTTAAATGCAGTATCAATCATTATCGTTTGTCTTTTTAAATTTTTTTTTGTCTCATATTGTTTCACATTCAGTAACTATAGTGGCTTTATTGCCTTGCTTAGAATGAAATGATTTAAAAAAAAACACATCATCAAAACTGTAAATAAACTGGCAATAAAATTAAACTTATAAACAAAGCAAAATTGTCTTTCAGCAGGACAATAAACCTAAAAATATTGACAATGCAACCAAACATTCATTTAAAAATAAGGAACTCAACCTCTTAATGTGATTCAATCAGTCTCCTGAGATAAATCTAATTGTTCATTTTCATCAGCCTAATAAATGAAACAAACTGAAGATGATCAGCTCAGAAAAATTGTTTATCATACAAGCAGAAGACTGTTCAGAGCCAATGGCTACTCATAAGGAGTGGCCAGAAGCTGTGGTTGCAAACAAAAACTGTCCCACAAAATATTAGGCTCTGTTTCATTTTGTTTGTTTAGGGTATTGAATACTTTTTCCACCAAATCTTTTTTTAAAAATATATTTCCTTGTTTGGTTATTTTTGTTCAGTGGTATATCAAGACCTCTATGGGTCATTTAATGCCGAAATCTAAATATTTTGCATGCAATTTCATTTTATTTTTGGAGATAAAAATGGTTTAGTGATACAAGTCATGTTAATTAACCCATAGCTGGGGAGGGAGAAGAGTGTATTCATACCTTTCCCAAGGGTGTAAGTGAACATAATGAACCAAAATGGATATTGGAACTATGGTTCTCCAATAAATAATTCCAAGCCATTATCCATTATACCACATGCACTCCCATCTAGGTATCTGCCCAGGCTTGACCTTGCTTAACTTTGGTGATCATATGGGAAATGGTGTTCCTACATAATGTGGCTATAAACCTTTTTAAAAATATCAATTACTTGAAAGCTTTGATTGTGTTTACCATTATAAAAATTAAGACTAGAGATACAGATACTATATTATATACTAGTAGTACTACTAGTAGTACTATAGTATATATATATATATATATATATATATATATATATATATATATATATATATATATATATATGTCTGTATGTATATATATATATATATATATATAATTATTTATTTAAAAATTATAACATAAATATGTTATAAAATCACTACAAAAATAAAAATACCCATTTTATTCTGTATACACCTATATCCTATATTTATATATATATATATATATATATATATATATATATATATGCACATACATATACCCATTCAAGCAAAGAAACCTCCTTCAGAAGGTACCAAAGGGAAGCAAGTAGAAAGGACTAAGCGTATATTACAAAAAGACAAATTCCATGGTCATCAGCAAAAAGATGAGCCCAAAATGCAAATTACAGGATGCAGATAGTAAAATCAAGTAGGTACAGAAATTTAAATATCTGGGAAAAGTTCTAAAAAAAGGATGTAAAGTGTAACACTGAGATCCAAAGATGTATTGGGATAGCCAAAGATGCATTCCAAAGCTAAGCAGAGTATTAAGAGACAGGAAAACTTTGTTAGAAACAAAGAAAAGAGTACTGAACTGTAAGGTGATATCTGTCCTCTTGTATGGCAGCGAAAGCTGGGCAATCTCCTCAAAGATGAAAAAGAGACTCAAAGCAAAAGGTAGTTCTACAGAAGGATGTAGTGGATACTACGAGCTGAACATGTGAACAACAAAAGGTTTTGAAGAGAATGGAAAGAAAAAGCAAACTTATACTTAACATCAGAAAGAGGCAGCTGAAATTTCTATTCTAAAAATCTAATAACGATTTACTTCTGTACAAAGTAACGCATGTACAAATCCTGCTGGACAGACAAAAATAAATAAATATACTGTTTAATAAATAAACAGAGCATCGATTGAACTATGAGTATCCACCAAAAATAATGTTTAAAGTGATATATATATATATATATAAATTTGATTTTTGAATACAGAAAAATTACTTACTGTAATTATCCATAATTGTGCATATCAATATATATATATATATATATATATATATATATATATATATATATATATATATATGTGTGTGTGTGTTGTGTGTGTGTGTGTAAATAAATATATATATATATATATATATATATATATATATATATTTTTCAATCATTTCATCCCGAGCAAGGCAATAAAGTCACTAAGATGCAAGGGTTTACTCAGTGTTAGTGAATATGAGAAAATATGTTATTAAGGATAGAGAACAATAAAAGAACAAGAATTAAGAATATTATAGTGTGTGTATATATATATATATATATAAATAATAAAGAAGTCAATGGTCAGAGTTGAATTAGACCAGGATATAGTAATATTAAAAAAGTGCTCAATACACATATAAAAAGATAAAAAAGTATAGAAAATTAAGAAATCAGCCAATTCTGCTACCTTGGTTTCAACCTTTTGCTATCTTCAGGCAATTTCAGTCAATTGATTTCCTAATGCTTTATCTTTTTAAAAAATTCATAATTATAAACGCTATATTTCTTTAAATAAACAAATGAATAAGCGCATGATATGAGATGGGGAGGGGGGAAAGCAAGTGTATTGAAAATGTATCAGTGGAGCAATAAATATACATACTTTCTTTTCAGCCCACTTCATATGAACTCAAAAGGAAATTTTTAGTATATATACAAAAAATTTTAATTTAAAAAAAGAAACTCACCTGAAGCGAGCTGAATGTATAATGCTCCTCATGCCAATGACACTTCCACCGAGCTTCACTACGGCATATGACTTCACTGAATTTTGATGTGTTCCTCTCGAATTTTAAACTGGGGTCATCAGGAGAGAATGTGCACCGTTTCGGGGCCTTCCTCTCAACGGTTTCAGTTGCACACCCCCCCCCTCACTGATGTGAGGCCCCATTATAACGATATACAAGTGTTGTAGATAAACTAGTTCAAATGTGTAACGGCGAAATTAAATTTACGAAAATTCCGAAAAATGGCAAACCTCTCGTTCTGAGAATGTGAACCTCATTACGCATTCACGATCAGTCATGTCATGCCGTCATGTTCGCTGAAACACTCCACGGAGTATTTCGTTTTTCCATATCCACATAGAACTATTTTCTGTTACTTCTATTAGGCGTTTTATACTTTGGCCCTATTACGCCCTTTGATTCCAATTTGGCCCAGAAATTGGTACAGAGTGCCTGAAACGAAACCCCTTGCTCCAATTTCCACTGCTCTAACAATTGCATTATACCCCTCCTTTATTAGCTCTGACTTTAGATTTTCATATTTATTAGTTTTATAATCGTGGCTTTGTTCCATCCGGCATTCATATGGTACTGTTAATTCAACCAGGATGATTTTATGGTTCACCCTTGACAGAAGAACAATATCTGGTCGCAGACCTTTACTTGATATTATTTTGGGGTAATCATTACGCCAACCAGGAAGGTCTGCAGATACCT